TTGTAACCCACTACATATTGGGGCATTAAATTACATATAGATCTTGAAACAAAAGGATAAATAAAAGCTAAAAATAACAATAATCGAAAAAAATCAAATAAATAGCAAAACGTTTGAGCGAGATTATGATAGCTCCGGCATTGGTTATGCTGATATCGAGTACATAATAGGGACAACAATAGTGACGCTAATAATAGTAGTTAATCACCAAACGATCACAATGAATGTAATATTGTGTTTAGGGACTAAGGCGTATACTGGAGTCCTATCAATCCTGTCTATTATGCTGAAGCAAGCACCTGTGGAAGCACTATGGGAAGTATAGATCATAGGTTGGGTTGCCACGAAGGGCAAACTCTTAAAGTAAATATCGACTAGCACAAGCACCCGGCATTTAACTGGGGAAATTAAAACTGATTTAATAAAGGCATAAGGTAATAAAGGTTGTGGAGAATTGAAGTTAGAAATGCAAGCCTGACAGAAATAAGCAGTCAAAAATTGCAGTTGAGCAAATTTTGCAAAAACTGCAAAGCAATTCATGCCTTTGGAGATAGGCATCCCAAATTAAATATCAAGGCAATATACAATCAAAAGATGGCGCCAAAGACTGAAACAGCAGATTATCAATTAATCAGAATAGACTGGATGAATCATATCAAAGAGAGCTTCCACGGCACAGCCGACACTCCACGCTTGGGCCGGACAGCTGTGGGCGCACATCTGAAATATAAAAAAAGGATTAACAGCCAGAAGATTAGATGACTGTCACTTAAAAATGAGGGTGATGAGAATTATTAGATTAATTCGTGTCCTATCAATATAATCACATTGTAATTGTATTGTTCTTGTCGAAGGTAATAGATAACCAATAAATTGAGGTAACACACTGAGGAAATTTCGCATACCGGGATAGAAGAGCAATGCTAAAGGAAGGTATATTGGCATCAGTGCCTCGATTATTCCCAATTCATCATTAGCCCATGAAGGAAAAATGATTCTTTAAAAAATGATATAAAGAATTATGGATCAAGCTTGGCAAAGCCATCCAAGGCCTAAAAGTGTTAATTTTTCTAAGAATCAATAACCACATTAGTAAGACACACAACGAAATTTATTCAAAGAAAGTAGTTCATTTCCCATATTATCTGTAATATTGGTATAAGTAAATGTTGGGTTATATGAGGATATGTGTAAATCGCCTGTAATCCAATTGCCAATTGTGGCGAACAAAATATAATAAAATGAAGAAGGCGCTAATATTTCCTTTGAAATCTTCAATTTATTCTATATGCGCGCATAGATCAAATGACAGGATTTACAACTGGCGGCTATAGCTATAACTGTGATGCTTGGGTGGATTAGATGGGCTAGTCAGAATCCGCTGATAACAAAGGTGTACAGATCATTCCAAGTGAAAATCGGGCAAACTTATGCAGCTGAGAATTGGCCAACCAACACACATAATGTAAAAGAGTATTACTAAACGCATTTTGGAATCAGGCTTGCAAATGGTTAGTAAGGTAATGAAAGTTGTAACTCGTATGGATTTAGACAGCTCAAGTGGAGTATTAATTTAATATTAAATTTTTTTGAGATTTGAATAGAATGGAATATGAGTATAAAGCAATTGAGTAGGCTTTAAGCTATCCAAATATTATGATTATAAGAAACGATGTGATAATGGTGTGATTACATCTACTAGGTTGATGGGAAACTCTTGCAAACCGTAATAGAAGAGCAATGTTAGGTTGATTTCGGACTAAATGGAATGGGTCATGTAACAACTTAGAACTTAGCTACTAAAAAGAATTTTTATTAAATGGTATTCTTACGGAGCCATTGAAGTTGGTCAGCTCTGGTAGTGAACGCCATGGTGAGGAGTAAAGGTGGTCGTCAAGGCGAGCCAGGTGGGCCTGACAGTCGGCTAAAACCTCGTTAGCAAGATGCCCGTAAGACTTTGGGTTGATACGTGCTAGGTGACGGCCGAAATAGAGCAAGGCACGAAGATAATAACCAGTCAGCCAAAGCCACTCTGGGCCCTAAGGGAGTAAAAAAAAAGATTTAAAAAGGCAAATAACGTTTGAATGTTTTTAAAGTGTCACAAAAAATATGCAAACAGTAAATGACTATAAACAGGTATAAGATTAAATGAATAATTTATTATCGTAGCATCAGTATCTAAAGTGAAAATATGAAATAATTATGAGAATGAGGCAAAGTTGAGAGTAAGAACTTGAATAGCAGAGTAGAAAATTTACCACAAACATGTGGATTAAAATTACTGCGATTGCAGAAAGACAAATGACCCTGAGGAATGTGTCAGCGACGAGATAAGGATCAGCAAGGTATCAAATCACAATATTCTTTGTCTTTGGTTAATTTATAAAAGCAACTCAAAATGATTGGCTCACCTGGTGATAATTAAAGCCTTTTGCCAAAGAGAAATCAGTGCTTTCGTTGGAATTATCATAGTAGCCACGATATGCCCAATCGTTTGGACCCAACGTTTTGATGCCAAGTGGACCAACCAACTGAGCTTTAACAATTTGCAATGCATCCCAGGCGCGTTCGGGAGTGAAGAGAGAGGGCGCCTGTTTAATATTTCCACGTTGTGAGGGAATAAGTTGGAGAAGGGAATAAAAAGAGAATTTGTGCATGTATATGCACATTAACTGATGAAAATTTAGAATATTTTAGTAATTGATGGAAGATATAAGGAATCTGATTAAACGAACGAATGACTATAAGTAGTATGATATTAAAGGAGTGGATAGTAATTCTACTCATAACAATCTGGGTAAAAGGCTTGAGGTAGCATCTATATTCACTAGGTCAAGCAGCCCGAATGAATTTTGACAATAAAATAGTTTTATTAGGTCAGCCACCAACTTCCAAAACATGACTGCACTAAGCGCATGAACCCAGGCCAAAGTGTTTAGTGTCCTAGATAAACACTTGTAGCAAACTGTGAAAGGGCCTGAAGGATTCGATCTGGGTTGAGATTGCCTGAAAGCAAACATTCGGAATCCTAAAGAAGCACCTTGAGATGCGATCAAATAGGAGATTTTAGAATGTCTCTATCATATCAAGAACTAATGCTTAATATGCATTCTTTTTTTATTCAAAAGAGATGTCGATAGAATAAATATCGGAATGGAGCCGGGCACTTCCTATCCAATGTCGGCAAGTTTAGATTAGAGTAGCCTACGACTCAGTAATTTCTGGATGAGACTTAAGTGAGGCATAAACTGTAATCCACTCTGAATAAAAGAACATTTTTGAAAGCAAGGCTAAATAAAATGCAATGACATTGCGAGGCCTACTCATATAATTGCGGAAAGACTCAATCATTAGGCCTTAAATCACCTTAAACGACTTAGAATAACTAAGAGATTATTAAATCTTTGAAAGTTTGCCCATAAGTTTACGAGGAAGAGGGAAGAAAACTAATTTGTATAAGCAAGATGACAAGAATCATTCAAACTGAGCTGATCAGTAATGTCACCAATGGTGTCGGTGAGATCCAAATGGTATAAGAATTGCCAAACACAACGAAGCGCAGTCGCCATTCTCTTCCACAAGTGAGAAAACTTAATTATATAAAAATTAAGAACAAATTACTCCATAAAATTTACTATCTATCTAATTTTATAGCTAAAAATACATTGAGATTGCTATAGCCAGACTAAAATGCTGAGACTAGAAAAAAACAAAAACATTAGTACATCGATCATTTTCAGCAACAGAGAAGCAATGACAATTTTCTAAAGAAAATAATTCAAATCAATTACTGGAAATTCATCGTTACACATTCTTTGCCGAACTTTCGCCTGCTATGACAGAAACCAGCATTCACGAAAAAAGCGCTAATATACTGGCCAAGATAGGAGAAAGGATGCAATCGTACTAACTTCCAATATCTTAATGGAATATCCCATGATTTAGTTGGCTACTTAATAATGATGAAAATGTGGTCACAGTAGCTCCTTTAAATAAATAAAGTTCGATCCTACAATAATTACATATGTCTATGTGTATGGTTGCACTTACAGTGTGTATTCTGAGCTGATAAGATGCCATAGTTAAACCAAATTCCGTATTAGTCAAGGCTCTTCTTGTTCGGAAATTCGTTTGTTCCCTCTTTCTATTCCTAATATTATCTAGAAGCCAGAAATCCAATGCACAAAGTAGGCTGCTTGTGTAGTTAAACAGAATCCTTAGTCTTAGATTTAGATTTAAAGTATATCTGGATGTCCTGATTAAGATGGTTGTTTCTCGGATTACATTTATTAGTATTTATCTATTTTTATTATTTACTTTATTAGCATTCTGAAAAGTAAGAGTGCCATGACCCAGAAGTCCTGCAAACAGCATCTGAAATCGGTGAAGGTAATTATGTTTCACTTAGCAAGAACACAGAATGGTGTAAATAGGTAAATAGTCCATATAAAGTGGGGTTGAAAGGAGATGCAGCACTAGGAGGTAGGACAAAAATGGGGGCGAGAAGTGATGCCACAACGGTTGAGCAGAAAATTGGTCAAAGGGATTGTCTTCACTTGTCACTTTGATAAGTTGTAACCTTGTGCTGACAATGGTGCCTCTCACTAATGATGCTGACTACAATATCTGCGGAACGTATGGGAAGGTATCGCATGAGCGGTTCGATTCTGTAAAACATCAAGAATATTCTAGAGCAGAGGACGCAGGACTAGGTACGTTCCACAAGGTCTCCGTGTCGCTCCGGCTAAGTTGCAAAAACGAGATCGAACCAAAACTATACAGCTAAAGGAGACTGCATCCAAACAAAAGACTATGTCATTCCGGTCTTCATATCTATAAGTAGAGAAAATTGTCTACTTATCTTAATGGAAAATAGTACATAAGCAAAAATATTCCCCAATTTAGACCGAAAAAATGCTGCTGACTAAACAATCCCAGGTCGGCATTTGCTTAAATCTGTGTCTTATATTAGGCATCTATCTTGAAACTCTTACTGCAACATGGCGTAATCCATTTTTGTGTATACTAAGAGTTGACATTAGGAATAGACGACCACCGTTGGCTTTTACCTACACTGCCATCGTGCAATATACACGTGGCATTACCAAAAGCTATGATTGCTGACTAGCAACGCCAGGCTTAAGTCAAATTCTCGTGTTTTGTTCAAAGAATGCGCAAATAATTCATTAAGAGCTTGTAAAAAGTTTCCAAGATTCTGAAAAGATACTCTAAATATTGATCGGTCTCCATTTAAACCTTTTGCGAGACTATATTTTCAGTGGATTTTTACTGAGATAAGAAAAGTCTCGCGCAATATAAAAAGTTTTCCTGGAAGCCTATTTTCCAGCTCAAAATAAAACTCAAAAAGCAAATATTTCACGGAGACGGTAAAAATGTCTTAAGTAATAAAATAATAAAAATGTAAAAACATGCTCATTAAATAATTATTAGCTCACCTGAAAATTACTTGTAAGTATATGTCTTACATTATGTTATTTGAGGATAGATCAATTCAAATACTAAGCCAAATAAAGAAATGGAAATAGCATCGTGAGCAGTTAAATGAATTTCATCGGAATTAAATTGGTAATACAAAAAGTTTGAAACTCTCATAAAGAAATTTCCCACTACTTTTTCTGAACTTAATATGAATCTTTGCACATTGATAGCCAAATGGCTAATAAATAATTATTTCACAGATGGGAAGTCAAAAGGAATGAGCCTGGGTTTGCAAAACATAAATAACAAAAATATGAAGCTAAATGTTTACCACTGTCATAGTGACAAGAAAATTGGGCCGAAGTTGATTGTCCGTGAACTTAGCAGATGAGCCGAAACTGTCCTTGTAAGCCCCGTGATTGTAAGATATTTCAGGATCTTGGGTGTCGTTGGGTATCCAGAAGCATTTCTCAAAGCAGGACTTAATGCTGTCAGCCCATTGAGACCAAGTCCAAAATTGGCCTGAAAGAAATGTAAAATATTCATGGTAAATAAATATAAGGAAACAGCTAGCAATTTACTTTAATGAATCTTATACTTTTACCCATCGATAAGTGACGCGGGTCCCCTACAATTAATATGCTGCAAATAATTATGTAAACGATGAGGAGTAAGCTAATTAATAGCCATACTAATTATTTTATTTTTCGTATGTAAATTGAGTTTCGAGACATCTACTAAATATTTTATATCCCGAAATCTATGATAGAACATATCCTACTCATATGTTGTCTGGATATCGTAATTTTTAGGAAACAAAACTTATCAGCTCCGAAATGCGGTTGAATCTGACTAGATATTTTTTATTAGTATCAGCTTACTATATAATTGTCATTAGTCAGAGGAAAAAGTATAG